TACGGAGCAAGTGAATATTCCATAGCATGAACTTGTTGTGTGGCCAGTTAGCATGTTCCTTTATTACTAGGTGATGCCTCCCTCCCACTTGCCCTTTAACTTCTTCTCTTTCCTAAACAAAGTCACGCAGAAAAAGGAGAAAGGTGGGAAACCATTCATGATGGACGGGCAGGCAAAAAAGAAAACCTGAGCATCTCATTCTCTTATTGGATGAGAACTTGCTTAAATGAGCAGTTCTTAAATGAGCAGGCTTAATAAAGCCTTTGAAAGCATGCTAAGCCACTTCAGTCATGTCTGATTCTTTGCGACCTTATGGACCATAGCCCGCCAGGTTCCTCCATCCATGAGATTTTCCCAGCAAGGATACTGGAGTGGGTTGCCATGCTCTCCTCCATTGGATCTCCCCAACCCAGGAGTCAAACGTACATCTCCTGTTGCTTCTGAATTGCAGGTGAATTCTTTTACCGCTGAGCCACCAGGGAAACCCAACAATGCCTTTACTGGGTAATTACTGTGAACTGGGCAGCGTCCAATTCTTTTCATATATTTTCTTTAATCTTCACAATGATCATAAAAGTGGTGAGTTATTATCTTGACTTGACAAGATGAAGATAATGAGGCTCAAAGAGGCTAACTGGGTTCTCACAGAAAGGGGGCCCCTGGGTCGACCCCACAGGTTTAAATGTCCCAGAGCCCGTATTGCGTTTGTTAGGGCACACTGCATTACGCTTCTTGTCAAAGAGCTGGGGGTTCTACAGGCTTGACCAAAAAATATCTGTTCAGAAAACATTAGGTTAACAGGAGTGGACAGGGAGGCTTTTTGGCTCTGTGTATCCAGACAACGATCACCTAAAACCGCAAGTGGTTCCTGAGGTTGAAAGCCAGCAACAGACAGTAAAGACAAGAGCAGAGGCTGCCACCATGAACAAAGAAGCTAGATGACAGCTCTTTTAAGAGCCTCATATGATAGAGCAGACTTCACTTGTAAAAAGTTCCTCGGGGCTTTTCCTGTGGAGTAGAAACACAGAACTGTTTCCTCAAATTTTAGAATGAAGATAAACCAATCCACTCCAAGTAGACATCCCCTGCAACCGGGATGGGCCCTGACTGAGCAGACTTGATCCCCACTCAGGAATCTCCTTCTCCCAGCTAGTCATTAATTATTCACTTATATAGAAAGGTTGGTCAACAGGCACTAGAAAAAAAGGTATTCAGAAATGGAGTAATTCAGGCTCAAGGTGGTTTCCTCTCGAATCCCTGCAAGATGCAATGAGGGTGACTCTGCTCTAGATCATGTAGTGCTCATCACAAACCAGATCAAGGGTCCACCCTGGGTCGGCAGAATCACAATCCCTGCAGTGGGCCTGGGATGTTTGTTTCTCACAAGCTGCCCTGACACACTCAGGGTTGAGGACCACCAGTTTAAGTTGATAGATAAGGACAGCACAGTGTGACAAGTGGAGGGATATTGGAGGCTTGGGGGAGAAGACGGAGCAGCCATGCTTGACGCAGCTTCCAGAAATACCTTGTCGTGAAATGGTAGCTAAGGGCAAAGGAGCAAAAGTAAAATGTGATGGGAGAGAAGCAGGTGATGTGACCTTTATTGAACAAGGTAGAAGATTAGGAGAAAACTCTGCTCGAGCCTTCCTTGCTTGTGCAAGTACATTTCCGATCCTTGTGCCAACTTCCAACTCAATCAAGAAACACCACCTGATAGCAAGGCTGCCACTCATTCCAACTTCAGCCATTACAGGGCAAAAAGGGACTGGGTTTCTTAACACTTTTTGGAGGTCTCCACATGGCATTAGCAGGAGGTCTACAATTTAGCCAATAGTTTAAAAGTTCAGTCTTCAAAGTACAGGAGGCCTGGGTTTGTGTCCTGGTCTCATTGACTAGGAAATCGTCTAACTTCTACAAATCTCAATATTAGCATGTGTAAATCTAGAACCATCAACAAGAACAAGACAAAGCAACTTTATGTACCTCTTTACATGATGCCCTGAAGAGAACCCTCATCTCTCCTTTCTGTCTGCCAAAAATGCAAAACCTGCATCTAACTGGAAAGAAACATTGGAGAAACCTAAACTAAAGGACATCCCACAAAATACCTGTCCTATACTCTATAGAACTTTCTAGGTCAAGAAAGATAAAGAATCTCTAAGGAACCATTTAAGAGCCATGAAGACCAGAGGGACATGACAATAAATGCATTGTCATGATCAATCCTTTCAGGATGCTGAAAGGATGTCAGACTGAGGAAAATACCTATCAAGGATCTTATTAGAGTAACTGATGAAATATGAATATGGGCTTTGGGCTCTGAATGAGACGATAATGTTGAACTAATGTTCAGTTTTCTGGTTTCTATAAAGAGGGCATGGTTATGTAAGAGAATGATTTTATTCCTAAGGAGGACACATTGACTATTTAGGGGTAAAGAGAGATGCTGCCTCTAAGTCAACTCAAATGGTTCAAAAGGGGATATGTACACAAGGGAGAAAAAATAATGAAGCAAAATATTAATAATTAGTAAGTCTGGATAAAAGGTAGACAAGAGTTCTTTGTACTATTCTTGTCATTTTTGTGTGTGAAATTGTATTGAAATAAATAACTCCTCAAAACTATCAGGCCAGGAAAAACAAGGGAAAGACTTGGAAATTGTCAAAGACTGGAGAAGATAGAGGAAACAAGATGAATATATTACAGTGCAGTTGGTATTCTTGTATTGGATCCTGTAACAGAAGAAGGACATTAGTGGAAACACTGACGAAATCTTAATAAATTTTGTAATTTAGTTACTAGTAATGTGCATAGTTTAGGAAACTGTACCACAGTTATATTAAGATGTTAACATTAGGATAAATTTAGTGAAGCGTATACAAAAACTCTCTATACAATCTTTGTATTTTGTCTGTCAATCTAAAATTGTTCCCAAATAAAAAGAATATTTTAGAAAGATTATTGACACACATACAGCAAAGGCCATCCCCAAAGGCAGGGACAGGATACTGATTCCACAGGCCCCTAAGAGTATATGTCAGGAATTGCTATCTTAAAGAAGAGGTTTCCAAACACCCTTGGCCATGGCACAATCAAAAGGAAATAGTTTATCTGAACCACTGACTTAGAATCTCTGGAGATGGGGCCCCAGAGAACATTTGAACAAGTGCCAGTGGTTCTGATATGGCCTCGGGCTTGGGCCCAGGTATCCAGCTCAGTATTTCTCAGAATTAACTATACAAGAAATCCCCTGGGGATCTTGTTAAAATTCACATCTGGGTCAGAAGGTCTGGGTAGGGTCTGAAAGTCTGTATATCTACTGAGCTCTTAAGTGATGCTCAAGCAACTGATCCTCAGCCCCACCTGCATACAAGGCAAAGCAACAAGACAGAATGGGCCTGGGTCCACGACACTGAAGCATCATACCAGCCCAGGACTGCCCTGTGGACTTAAAGAAACAAAGAGAGAGAGAGGGAAAGAAAGAAAGTGAAGTCACTCAGTTGTGTCCGACCCTTTGCGACCCTGTGGACTGTAGCCTACCAGTCTCCTCCGTCCATGGGATTTTCCAAGCAAGAGTACCGGAGTGGATTGCCATTTCCTCCTCCAGCGGATCTTCTCAACCCAGGAATCGAACCCACGTCTCCCACACTGTAGGCAGATGCTTTACCATCTGAGCCGCTAGGGAAGTCCTGTGGACTTGAGAAGCCAACTTCTATCTCTTTGAAACAACTCTTCTCTTGGGTTGTAGACAAACATAATCCTAACTACATTTAGTCTTCACCAAGTAGCCCCGGCCATATCTTGAAGCCATATTCAGTGTGTATCCTCTCTCAAACAGCACTTGAAAAAGCATAAACAACTGTTGCCTGACACAAATGTATATAAAATTACTAGGCGCATTTCTCTACTTTCATGGATTGCTTCTAAAGTTAACAAAATCTGCCTCAAAGAACAAGTTACAATGACTATGACATGTTGGTCTGATGACACCTTTTTTACAACAAAATTTACTCTTCCTTACATTCATGCTCAAACTCAACTCATTCTCATTTGACCTTTATAATTTAATGAATCATTTGGATGCACACAATGTCTTACAAATCCTCCAGTGGTCTTCAACCAGATAATAAAATCTGACCAGAAAAAAAGTGTAGAGCATAATCATAAAATATTATTGAGTACATAAGAAATAGAGTTGCCATGGTACCGTAATTTTGAAAATGTAGAAAGCCATCCAGAACCCCATACTACATGCTTTATGAAACCCTTAAGCATATACTAGATCTCATACTTTTTGTTTTTAAGTCATTTACTCTATAATGACAAAAGTAACCTCCCTGAGATTGCCTGCAATCAATTACATCATAAGACTCAGTACCCAAGCTAAAGGATGCTTCCATAGGTAAAACCATGCTAAAAATCTTTGTGATATTTTTTCAAGCAGTAAAAATTTACTGGGCATTTTTCATATACAAAACAATACACTAGACCCACAGTGCATTTGACTTGAATAATGAAATTACAACTGGCTAAGACCCAAGAGCCACCCCTCTATGCTAATTTCATAATCAAAATAGTAATAGGACAAAGTCACATTGTACTTGTTGGCTGCTTCTGCAAAAACCAGAGAAGAGTGACTCCAAAAATTAAGTTTTGTGTTGTCTATAATAAAACAATCTACTCATAGTCATGAGTCTCTGCAAGGCAGTGCTGGGACAGGCTCCACTGCATCAACTGCCCAAGTCCAGTCCCCTTGTCGCTCCCGCCTCCTTCACAGCTTCGGACACAAACCCTGTATTGACTCACTCTGAGTAGATGTTATAAAAACCCCACATCGCCACTACATGTGGTACAGAAATCAAACTATACTGTAAGTATTATCACACCGATTTTTCAACACAGCCAGAGACAGAATGGGAGAAAAAAGAACTAAGTCTGGGAAAAATACAGAATAGAAGGGAAACTAAAATAACCGCCAAATGACTGCCAGTCTTACTAACCTGGTCGATCTCCATGAGCTTGGGGTAGGCACCCGGCCATTCTATGGCCACCTTGACGATGTCTGCAGGCGGTGGCATTGCAAATTCCGGGAATGTCCAAAGCCAGTGGAAGTGGGATCCTACGGTGTAGACGGCTGCACGTGTCTACACCTAATGAGGAATGACAAAAAGAGAAAGAGAAGTCGCTCAGTGCAAATACAGGGTGAATTTTGCCTTATCACTTCCTGTTTTCACTGGTGGTTTAGGTATAAGAAACGGCTCTGGGTGCAGAAGACTCAGGGCGCCAACTGCACCACTCAACAGCGGCGGCTCCCCAGGAGGGAAGGTAGAGGAGGGGAAGATACCGATGCCCTGGGGTCAGAGCCGCCTGGAGATGAGGCGCTGGCTAGGGATAGGCTCCCAAGTCCCCACTGTGAAGCAAGGTGGAACCCTTACCGCCCAGTTCTGCTCTGAACGGCCGGGGTCTGAATGCGCCTGGCTCACTCTGCCCAGAAGCACATGCAAACTCCTCATGCTCAACAGCCTCCGGAAGGACAGATTGCCCAGGAAGTTATGGCCAGGAAGCAGCATTTCTTTAAAGTTTTTTCTGGGTGTCACAAATAGAGCTCTGCACTATAGCAACCAGGATATCATGAGGAAGGAGCCACGCCCCAAGGTTCACACACATGCACACACACTCCCTCCCCAAGGCCAGTTCACAAGATGCAAAGAAAATTAACTGTGGTGGTTAATACAGCATTCAGAACAGACCTTGAATTCTCACTGGAATGAATAGTGTTGCTTACACAAAGGAAGTAAAATTAATCTTCTGCTGCCTCTCTCTCCCAGACTCCCTCATTTCTTTAAGAAAGATTTTTTTTAAACATAATATTTTTGAACAGGTAAAACATTCATTCAATTCAATTCAAGAGAGAGAGAGAGAGAGAGAGAGAGAGAGTGTGTGTGTGTGTGTGTGTAAAGACAGTGTGAATCTCCCTTCTCCTGAACGGATATATCTTCCATCCCCATCCATCCAGCTAGCCACTGTTAATAGATTCTTATGTGTCCCTCCAGAATTTCTTCATGTAAGTCAAATGTTAAAACATATATTTCCCATTTTCTTTATATAAAAGGCAGCATTCTAGACCCTGTATTATTCATCTCATATGTCTTCTAAAACCTTCTATATTAGTATAAACATTGTGTCTTGGTTCCTTCTACAGCTGGATAGTCATTCTTTGTATAGACGTGTCTTATCTGAAGAGCAAGTCCCCTGCCATGAGCCATTCGGTAATCTCTCACCTCTGGCTGTTATAAACAAGCCTCTGGTGAATAATCTTATGCATACATCATTGTGCTCACTTGCAAGTATATCTTTACAGTAGATTCACAGAAGTAAAATTGTTGAGCCAAAGGGAATAAGCAGTTTTAGATTCTGAAACCATCTCCAAATATCCCTCCCTAGTGAGAGTTGTACCAATCTACCCTCCCTTTAGCAATGGATGAGTCTGCCTATTTACCCAGACTCACCAACAGATAACTTTTGCACACCTCCATCACTGAAAAAATATATTTCAATGTACTTCCAATGTCTCTTTCTTTTATTGTGAGGGAAGTTGAACGTAAAGATGTGAGGTCCCATGTCTACTTTACTGTGAACTGAAGTAATACTTTGCCCTTTTTCTACCGAGTTCTTGGTATTTTTATTCAGAAATCAATCTCTGTATAAAGCTTCTAATCAAACATATGCAGTTGATTCTTTATCAAACCCAAGTGGGGCTTGTCAGCTACGAACCCCTGTCTCAGTGGCAGTTGGACATGACTAAGATAATAGAGATAACAGAGCTAACAGTGACAGCCTAATGTCAGTTAATAACAATAACACAAGCAGTGATATAAAGAACCAACTTCACCGGAGCTGACAAGTAAAGGAAATGAACCAAGACAAAACGGCTTCCCCTCTGGCCAAGGAGGATGAAGCCAGCCTGGTGTGAAGATAATCAGTGCTAACCAGCAGGAGCACATCTCCAAAGCGGTGGTTCAGTGGCTCAGTCAACAAATAATTATTGAGCCCAATTCTGTGCCAGCTGTTTTCTCAGTGCTGGGGATACAGCAGCAAATCTGCACCTTAGGTGGCATCAAGGGACATGGAGAGAAATAATTCAGGGAAGGAGAATCTGAAGTCTGTGAGTATATCTGTGTGGGAGGGGCAGGATGCAGTCTTAAATAGGAATACCAGGGAAAGCTTCAGTGAGAGGCAGAATGTGAGCAAAGGCCTATGAGAAGTGAGGAGGTGAGTCATGCGAACACCTGGGGAAATCATGTCACAGGCCAAGAGAGCATGTTGACTGAAATAAAAATGCACAATCTAAAAGTTGAGAGTTATGTTTTATTCAGTGGATGTTCTTAGGACTTTGAGCCCGGGAGGCAGCATCTCAAATCACCCTGAGTAAACTGCTCCCAAGAGGAAGCAGCAAGCCAGGATATATAGGAGTTTTTGCAACCACGCCAGGAAGTCAAAACAAAAGATTCCTGTTAATAAAAGAATACTAGCTATCTCAAGCTAAGGGCTTTAGTGCTTCTCTGTGTATGGTAAGATGCAAGAGTCTGGGTTCACTGAAATCATTCTTTGATGTGCACCTCCGCTGTCTGGGGTCAGTGGAGCTTTCTCATAGAGGAGGGGAGTGGCTGAAGTCTCATGACTGCTAGATGGCAGGCATTTTTTGTTTCCTTCCTGAGTTCCCTCAGGACTCACAGTTGGGCCAGTTGTAATGTGGTGTCTAGATCCTTTCTTTACCATTGTGGCAGGCAATATTTTATTTCTCAACTAGCAAGTGCAAAGGCCCTGAGGGAGGAGCATGCCTTACATGGTCCTGAAACAGGTGAGGGACCAAAGTCAAGTAAGTAAGAGTAAGAGTAATAAGAGAATGAGTCCCAACAGTTTGGGGTCATAATGTGGAAGGTTCACTCACTATACTCTTGACCCTCCTAGACATTCCTACACTAACTCTTGGTCATAATTTCTAAAGAAGAAAGTTCATCTCCATGCATATCTATCTATTCTGAGTATAAATGAGTACAACTTTCCAGAGGCATCTTTGGCAAATTGCACTCAAAGCCTTAAAATTTCATACTCCCTTTCAATAATTTTACTTTTCTAGGATGTTTCCTTAAGAAATAACTATTAACTCAACCATAACAATGTCAATTGCTGTTTTGGTTGTAATTCCCAAAACTTGAAAACAATTGAATATTCAACAACAGAGACTGCTACATAATTATGGGTCTCCTAAGTGCAAATACAAGCAGGCAGTCTGCACTGGGACAGATTTCTTCATAATCTGTACACTCTTTTAATTTACTTGAGAATTCCAAGGATAGTGTATTTTATCTGTACCACGTCACTTCAATTCGGGATCCAGATTGAATTACATATCCTAGAATAAGAGTTAAGAAAACAAGTTCTAATGTGAAAACAGACCCAGTGCAAATATCAGGTAACACTATTCAAACCAAAGAACACATAGTCATGGTGGTGAAGAGAATAGATAATAGACAGTAGAAATAAAAATGCATTTTGAGCAATTTCCTCCCAACTCTACACAAAATAGTCTAGAGTTACATTGAAAGAGGTCATCTAGCCTTCCAGGAATCAAAGGCCAAGTGTGCTTTTTTCCCCCTTTAAAAGATATTTATTTCTCAAAGACTGTTCAGACAAAACCTGTTGAACAGGTGACAATAGAATAACACAGTTCTCCTTGTGCCTCCGTAGAGAAAAACATAATAGCAGTGTACAAAGCAGCCATTGAGAGCAAAGAGGCTGGGAGCACCCCTTGGGAACTCACCTAACCAGCCCAATTAGTCTTCATCAGTTTTCCCCACATTAATAAACAGCCAAGATGGGGCACAGCCAGGTTCCCATGGGTAGAGTCAGGTACACAACTGCAGAATGAATAATCCCATCCACATCATTATCCTCAGAAGTCCACATTTCATCCTCTTGAATTTATATTTCCATGAAGAAACAGTTAGCTTCTATATATAGTCATGTTGCTACTGACAAAATTCAGAAGAGACAGTTTCTAGCTCAGGTTTTCTCACCCTTGTGAGATGTTTAGCAGAATCCTTGGCCTCTACCCACTAGAGGTCAATAACCCTCTTTAGCTGTGACAGAAATGTCAGATATCTCTCCAGACATTGCCAAATGTCCTATGAGGATCAAAATCATCCTCCAGTTCAGGTGTGAGCTGCCAAGTTCTCAAGACTTCCCTGGTAGCTCAGATGGTAAAGAATCTGCCTGCAATTCAGAAGACCTGGGTTCAATCCCTGGGTCAGAAAGATCCCCTGGAGAAGGGAATGTTTACCTAGTATTCCTGATGCAAAGAGTCAACTCATTAGAAAAGACCCTGATTCTGGAAAAGATTGAAAGCAGGAGGAGAAGGGGACGACAGAGGATGAAATGGTTGGATGGCATCACGGACTCAATGGACATGAGTTTGAACAATCCCTGGGAGATGGTGAAGGACAGGGAAGCCTGGTGTGCTGCAGTCCATGGGGTCGCAAAAAGTCTGACATGACTGAGCATCTGAAGGACAACAAATTCTTGCCTGGGAAATCCCATGGACAGAGGAGCCTGGTGGACTACAGTCCATGCAATCACAAAGAGTTAGACACGACTGAGTGACTAACATGTGCCAAGTTCTCTGGGCAGATACTAACGATCAGGGCAACCCATGGCTGAAGTGACACAAGACAGGCTCACCAAGAAACATGAACATTCAGACCCAATGCATGGTCAGGCATCACTGAGGTGCAAAAGTATTTCTAAATTTCAGTCAACAAATGCAGTCCCCTGGCATCTTTGCATCTTCAGACACGGTGCTCACAGCTTTTGAGTCTTCTAAACAACTTCCCCCAACCACAGCTTGGAGCGCTGTAAGGCAGGGTACACATCCTGATCACAGTTACATACCAGGGCCCACAGGCACCTCATGCATGGTGTTGGCTGAATGCAGCCTTTCTACAACTGACATCTCATCAGAGCTACTGGCAGTAAAACTGAGTCTAGTCAAAACTGCCCAGTAAATTATAAGCTGCAT